CATGTATGTATGCACGTGCTTGTGTGTATGTCTAGACCGGGCCATAGGTAGGTAGGTAGGTAGGTAGGTAGGTAGGTAGGTAGGTAGGTAGGTAGGTAGGGAGGTAGGTAGGTAGGTAGGTAGGTAGGTAGGTAGGTAGGTAGGTAGGTAGGTAGGACACACGTGGTTGCGATGTGTATGTCTGTGGTTGTGTATGCATGTATGTATGTATGTATGTATGTATGTATGTATGTATGTATGTATATATGTATGCATGTATGTATGTCTGTGTTTTTTCGCCGGGCCATACGTACAGAGGCACATGTGTGTGTGCCCGTGTGATCCATTAGAAACGAAGTTCACGCGATCATACCACTTCCTTAACAGGACAGTACACACAGTTCCAGAGGTAGAAGAAAAGGAAACCCAGTCCTGTTCCAGAGGGGGGGGGGCGGGGGTTCTCCTTCCTCATCTGGACCATCCGTGTTGGAGAGTCACAGGGCCGCATGTGTGTGTGTGTGTGTGTGTGTGTTGGTCCATGTGCGTATGTCTACGCCGGGCCATACATATACCGGCACATGTGTGTGTGTGTGTGATATGTATGTGTGTGGTTGTGTGTATCTATACACCGGGGCCATACTTACACAGGCACATGTGCGTGTGTTTGTGCCCGTGTGATCCATTAGAAACGAAGATCGCACCATTTCCTTAACAGGACAGCACACACGGTTCCAGAAGAAAGGGAAGCCCAGTCCTGTTCCACAGGGGGGGGGGTGGGCGTGGGTTTATAATTGTATACAAACTGAACCATGGGAGGGAAGGGGGGGGGGCCGTCCGGGCGCAACCATATGTACACATGTCTACTTTTACATGTTTTACTGTAGATATGTATGTTTGCATGTGCGTAGGTAGGTAGGTAGGTAGGTAGGTAGGTAGGTAGGTAGGTAGGTAGGTAGGTAGGTAGGTAGGTAGGTAGGTAGGTAGGTGGGTAGGTGGGTAGGTTGGNNAGGTAGGTAGGTGGGTAGGTAGGTGGCCAGGTAGGCAGGTAGGTAGGTAGGTAGGTAGGTAGGTAGGTAGGTAGGTTGGTAGGTTGGTAGTATAGGTAGGGTGGTAGGTAGGTGGGTAGGTGGGTAGGTTGGTAGGTTGGTAGGTTGGTAGGTAGGTAGGCAGGAAGGTAGTAGCTAGGTAGGTAGGTAGGTAGGCAGGTAGGCAGGTAGGTAGGTAGGTCGGTAGGCAGGTAGGTCGGTAGGTAGGCAGGTAGAGGTAAGTATAGGTAGGGTAGGTAGGTAGGTAGGTAGGTACGTAGGTAGGTAGTCGGCAGTCAGCCTGGCAGGCAGGCAAGAACTGATTCCTGCAAGAGGCCGTGCCTAGCCAACCAGTGCTGCGTCAAAACTTCTGCAAACACGGCAACGTACTCGAAAGGCCTTGAAGGGGTTTAGGGCTACACGCCAAAACCCTCACTGACCAAGCCAAGTTCTTTCTGGGCCGTGGCTGGGAGCCAACGGGCCTCCAGGTCCTCCATACTGTCGCCAAACCTTGGTCAAACTGTGGGACTCGCTCCAACCCCGTGACACCATCCAGCGAGAAACCGGAGGACAAATAGCAGCAAGAATATTGACGACGCATCGCAGCGAACCATCGACAAAGAAGAGGTGTAGTAACGATGCAGTAGCAGCTCGCAGCCAAATCACAAGTCCAGATCCATCTCCTCCTCGGCCTCGACATCATGGGCTTCACACAGCCTCGCCATCTGGCCAGGGACACTTACCTCAGCTGGCTGGAGGCCCTGACCCTACGGAACTCCCTTGTTGCTTACGGGTTTCACCATCCTTTTCACAATGGCCTCGCTCGACCTCTGTCCTGACTTATGATTGGAAGGAGATCGGTTCTTAAGGGTCCAGGTCGGCACTTGGGCTCCCTGTAGAAAACCTAACTTGACTTAGCAGTAAATCCTAGATCCGCTGGCCCTTGCCTTGAACTTCAGCTCCTAAAGCTACAACCCTAACGACTTGTCAACCAACCCTTGGAGGCCCGAACTGCTTCAGAAACCAGCTGCCGCGTGTGCCAAGTGTTCGAGGCTGCCGGGCTGAAGAGGGAGGTCCTTGCACGGGAGCATATCAGATGTATTTAGGGTGGGGCGGAGTTAAGACCTCTCGACTAGCACACTCGCTCATGCAAGGCAGGCACATATTCGACTCAAAAAGTCTGACATGAAACTGAGAAGTTTGGCCGTGATTTTGCGCGAGGAGTTGTCACGGACCGGCCGATGTTTTTGTTCATTCGCCGGAGCTTCACGGCTTCATCCCCTGCAGATCCCTCATGGTCTACGACTCGAGCCTCAAGGTGGAGGTTGATGTAAGTCAGGCCTAGTTGCCCCGAGTCTTTAGACGTAACTCCCCGACAGACCGACGACCACCACTTCATACCTTGCTAACCCTTCCAGGAGCCTCGAATTCCTATGAAAGGTCTACTCCTCCGAAACTCTGAAGCAGTGCAGAGGTCCGAACCCTGTGCAAGGACCTGTTGCTGGCAAAAGGCTTATAATGGACGAAACATTCCAACCCGACGCCCAACATCCTATAGTAGTTGGACTTGTCGTGTTCGTGCGACCACAAAAGGCACACCAAGAGACACCCGGGGGGAGTCTCATCCCTGGACCAAAGTTCCTAAAGCCGAATCTCCTCACCTAGGAAAGATTAAGGTCTGGCTTAAAGGCGCTACTAACAGTTCTACTTGTAGGCGACAAGGGACTTCGAGAGGGCAACCCTGAGCCCAAAACCCAAAGCCCAGAACCTTAAACCCCAACCGCTAACCCCGAGTGGGATACCATGATTTTGTTGGGTTTAGGGTTTGGGGTTTAGGGTTTCCATACCATATGCCTCCAGGAGGAGCTCTGTCAGGTGACCCGTGCACTGAAAGTTGAAGATGGCGATGCAAGCCTGACGTGGCGTGCAATCTGTCACATATATGTATACGTACATAGTTTACAATACCTACAATGGTTAACACATGACTTATGATAGATCACGCGGTATCTAGCCCTTTGTCAATATTTATTCACGGGTTCACGAGAGAACTGGGCACGGCTTGCGAAGGGCAGTCGATTTGTTCCACGAGCTGCAGAGACTCCAACCGCCGTTTCACCGTCATCTTCACTCTTCAACGCCATTGATCTTTCGAGCATGGAGGCATCTGCGTTAAGTGTTTGGTGCGGGGCACGACGCGCCTTATAAACTCCTACCTGAGTCGCAAGGGTTTCAGGACATGTGTGCCGATGGGACGCAAAGCAATTCGGAGACCGTCTCTCTGCCGCGGGAACCTTGCAGCTCTCCCGACATGCTCTAATTATGTGTGTGTATATATATATATATATCATACTTACTTTTGATACTGATATTAGTATCATTATTACTACCATTATTAGAATTCTTCTTTTTTACTATTATCATTATTATGATTGAAATTATTATTGTTTTTGTGACTATTTTCTGCTTTTTCCTTTGCACAAGGCTGTCCTTGGAGCGAACCCCGCCCCCCCGGCGAACCACCGAAAAGGCCTCCGCCGCTTCAGCTGCAAGGTTCGCACCCTTCAAGACAATCTTCCGACATCCCTCGTCCTGCGAGGGAGGATGCACCATGGATTTCGATGGGTCACTGCACGGCCCTCAAAGAAGCAACGGCAATAGCACCCATCTTACATCATCTTACCGATTTAGGGTGTCCTAGGCCAGAAACTGTCCGCGAAGAATGCCAACATGGGGTCTTAAATATACGTGCGATATGTTTTTTTTGTTTCGAAGCCCAAAAGACAATGCATCTACTGGAGCAATCTCATTTTTTGCACCCGAAAGAAGGATGCAGCATTTGCCAGTCATAGTATTCCCTAAACCTTTTAACGAAATTATTTTGAATAACCAAATACGAAACCCCTGAACTCTATAAGTCTATAAGCCCGAAGCACTTAAACAGTCGTCTAAACGCTACAGAGGCGTAAGCTGTAGTAAATTCCCGTTCTTGTCCATGTCCGCGTAGAGCATATATTATCTGACGTTCAAGTACCCTATGATAGGAAACCTGTCCCACGGACTAGTTCCATTGGCCTCCAGAGCTTTCCGAAGCTCGAGCTCCGTGCAGCATATGGCTGAGTCCGACATGGCTTTGTGAGGGATGAAAACAGGTTTAGGGGTCGAGGTACACGGGCTTAGTTGATTCTTTAGGGGGAGGCTTATGTATAGGCTCAAGGGTTTAGGCTGGATATCCTTTCTTTGTGCTTGGATAGGGCACTTCGGGCTTTCGCGTGTAGGTTCCAAAGTCTAGGGTGGTCTGTAAGTCTTTTTGCTGATGGGGCCTTCTTGCCGGACTGTGATTTCCAAATGTCTATTGAGAACATGGCTTCGGTCTACCTGATGTAATAATGGTTTAATAGTCCCTGCATTGACGACTTGCTGACGACAACAACAACAAAGGAAACCCAAGGCAAAGGTGGCAAAGGCCTGTGCAAAGAACTGCTTTCTGAGTGGTTGACTCAAAATTTGTTCAAGGCACCCTCAGCAGTTGTAAAGATTGTAAAGATTCCTGGACATGCAGTGGCAACAGCTATACTTGCATTCTTCAAAGTTTGAAACCTTGGGGCCTGGCTCGAGCCAGACCCGGAGTTCTATTCTGCCGTAGATGACAGGAAGAGAACAGCCACTTTTGCTCCACCCATGCCGTCTAAACTGAAAGCATCACAAGAAAGATGTCCTTAAATACTCTGGTTCCCCAACGCACCAGTGTGGTCGAAGGGTGCTTAATCGGCTCGGCTGTGTATGAATCGAACACCAGACCACAGACCACCCCACACATCAGACCTACCGAACTCTGCAAGCCTCACAAGACCCTAACTAAAAATCCGAAGTGCACTTAACCCGACCATAACCCAAGCTCCTCTCCTGACAAATAGCATCCCCAATCAACAGAAGCCCTGAAAAGCGCTCATTACGGGCATCAAGGTTTGGTAGAGGCCTTGGCTTGGGGATGAAGGTTCAGGGAGCCGACAAAAACCCTGAAACTTCGTGGGGCTTATACTGATCGGAACTTTCGGGATGTCGACCTCTCCCTAATGTGCAGTAGAGATTGGAGACGCAGATCTGCTAGGCCGAGAAAAGCTCTGAAGAACTGCGATTGCGAAGCAGGGCGTGTGTTTACGTGTCCACAGAAGAGCATCCGCCCACCGTCCTTTTTCTAGCGCAGGTAGAGAGCGAAGCAATGGGCTGCAAGCAACGTAGGGATGCTCGGCACGTCGTCTGCAAATCAAGATTCAGCTAGGTGTTTGGACGGATAAGTTCAGACGTGCTTTGTCCAAGCATTTCCACAGCCAAAACCCGGGATCAGGCTTCGGCGACACACCCGCCGAGTCTCACGTACTCGGGAAAAAGCTCGGAGAACACCTGCTGGAAAAGCACGGATATGTCTGAGCACTTCTTCCACGTCTCAGCTTTTCTTCACAGGCATGCCAGCCGCAAGTAAGCTGAACAGGCTGAATACGCACTAAGGACCTCGCTATAAAGATTGATTGAATAAACAGCTTCATGAAATTTGGTGCGACATTTGGTCAGATGCCCCTTGCTCACAGGACGCGATGAAATCTTCCGAGAGAAAGGGGATTCCCAAAAGCCGGAGACCATGAAAATAGCAGTCGGATTTTTTGCTTGTGTTGCCAACTACAGTATTGCTTTCAAGCCCCAGTGCCCCTGAATCCCAGTCCTCAAAGGTAACTTTAAGGCGGTACATCTGCTTTTGTTGCCTCCCGCCTGGCTAGGACGACTATCTGCCTTGCTTTTTGTATGTGTGTGTGTGTGTGTAGATGTGTGTAGACGTACACACTTTCGATGCTAATCATGTTGATCAATAACAAGCTATTAGTGATCCAGGGCCGCAGTCACTAACCCCCACCCCCCCACCCACACACCGGCACCCTGCCCCATGTAATGCTTCGTTCCTACCGGCACTGACAGTCATTCGGATCATCATGGCATCCATGAGATACTGCCCGAACCTAACCCCTAAGACTCCAAATTCTCAAGCCTCGAATGCTACAGCCGGAACCTGGAAACCAAGCACCCCAAACTTTCACACTCAAAACCTAAACCATCTAAAACCTGAAACCCCGCAGACGTCCTGCAGCGCTTCGGACGGTCTCCCAATGACAATTTCTGGCTTCTCAAGGCCCTTCTCCGCGTAGTGGGCCTGCATTCTTAATCCGAGTGCCAAAGATGAATCTTACATCCCGTTCCTTACTCGCAAAGTCGTAAAACATTGTAACACTCTGACGAACCCCATGCAGAATGTAAGCTGTGGTGGAGAGATTGGGGTATGTATGTGGAGTTTCAAGTCCCGCACTCCACATCGCTAGCTGAGGAAGCGCGACAACAAGATCGCGTGACGGCACATACAAGTCTAGGCTTGACAGAAGCATGGCGCAGCTCGTCGCCAAAAGCACAACGTTTGGTGCCTCCGTCCTTTCCAGGGACCCTCTGACATCTTGTAAGATGTCTTGGCCTCGTCTTTCCATCAAAATCCAATTTCGATGTTCGTTGAGTCCCTCCCACTTTGTCTGCCATTTTCTGTCCTCAGTACACCCCATCGGGCACACCAGGTCTGTCTGACTCCTCTGTGGGCACCTCTGGAGTCATAGTTTTGCAGAGCCTGAAAGGATCTGAGATATTCTGAGCTATCTGGACCCTGTGCTGCGGTTACGTTGACTTGGGCATGGGGTTCTCCGGCTCTTTTGACTGAGTGGAGCTGGATAAAGTCAAGTCGGATACCGCCTCTGCTGTCCCTCCCCTTTACACAGAACTTGATTGGAGCTCAACCCTAAACCCTAAACCCTAAATCCTGACAAAAAAGCGAGGCCTTGAGCTTGCCAATCTCCGGGGCCAGCGTCATCAGCCTCAAAACTCAGAGCATAATACGCCTATAACATCATGCTCACCGTAGTTATTTTGTACGCTATAATGAAAGTATAACCTGCTTCATGAGAACATGCGACAACAGCACATGAAACCATAACACCCCCCTTTCACGAAACACGCCATATCAAACATACAGTATAGTACTTAGGAAGAAGAGCAAACCCCTAAGGGTCCCTAAATACTTCTAGTAGGTAGCTGCGTATCCGCTTCGAGTTGCGTTTGAGGTTAGGGTCGGGGGTTTGGACTTTGTGTGGCTTCATGAAAGGTTTAGGGTTTAGGGTTTAGGAACCCAAAACCCTAAGCCTTTAAACCCTAAGCCCTAATTTAGGGCTTAGAGTTTCTATTGGGTAGAAAGGAAAGGCTCTCCAGTTCAAGCCTCTGCAGAGTCCCTAAACTTTTGGATAAAGAAAGGCTGTGCAGTTCGGGGGCTCAGGGTTCAGGCAGGGTGGGCGAGGATCGAGGCCTAGAGCCGGCCCCCCCCCACCCCCCCAAGAATTATCGGTTTTAGGAAAGCATCGGACATGGCGCCTTCCAGCTCTGCTAGGCGCTCTGATGTCTCTCGCATGGCTTGGGTCAATGCCTACGAGCGAGGTTGCAATGTGTCCACACAGCCTTACACACACCCCTGTTAAGAATCTTTTGGGGTTTGGACTCTCGCGACTCGGACGAAGCAGCGAGGCTTGGGCCGGGTTCGAAGGCTGGCACATGTGGCCACGGGTCGGCAGCAAAGGGCTCACCACACAACACCCAACAACAGTGTACAGCAAAACATTCAAGTCAAATATAAGCTATATGTCGCGAGCCCCTGTTTCTTGCTCTTTTCGATCTCTTTGTGCTGGGTTTGTATGTTGAAGAAACCGATGTGACTCATGTGAAAGTTACGGCTGCCGGCTTTACACACACCCGTTCGCAACAGATAGAGTATGGGGTTAGGTAGACTGCATTTGCCCTAGAAGCAGGATAGAACATGCAGTCGTACGGCAGCAGAGCCAGCTTGACACCTGGGCGCTGGGGGATCTCTGCTACTGGCAAGCCCTATGCTCAATAATACGCCATTTCAGGTTGCATAGCCAGGCGGGGATTCGCAGCCCAGCGGCCTGTCCAAGTTCTCCCGAGCGGCTAACTCAATAGCCTTGCTGGGGCACGCAGCTCGACCGGCTTCAAGACTTTCCGTCGGATTTTAGAAGCTCTGATGTAGATTAATCATGAGGAAGCTTTGTCTGATTTACAGTCGTGGATGGGGCGGTGTTGCCGTTGGTTCAGTCATCAACTCACCTACATCTTTCTGTGGCGGAGTCAGGTCGTGCATTAATGCGATTGGAAGCGATTGCATTGCAGGCCCCGATTCGAAATTGACATCATAATCATATCTGTCAGATATGCCGAACTTCTCCTCCTCCTCCTGCGGCGTCTACAACTTTGATGACTCTACTACTCAGCACCACGACCGCAACAAGTACCATGCAGCGGCGGCGACGACCACGAGGACGAGACCTGCTACTATACCGACGACCTCAAAAAGCTCGAAGAAAACCGTTTAGTCCACGTGAAGTTCATCAGACCGACAGGAAACAAAAGCGAGGCCAACCAAAGATGTAAATCAGCAAGGGGTAAACAGAAGCAGCAGCATATATTGCGACGACAAGCAGGAAAGCTCTGTTCTACTCATGCTTATTTGGGGACATACGTGCGCATGTACCTATTCATGTATGTATCTGTGTTTGTATGTATTTCACATTCTTATGCGCTCAACACCACGAAGCAACTTGTTTGCGTTGTTCACTGTGTTGTTTTTGGGAGTGCCTGGTAGCTTGATGCACCCAGAAGTCCTAAAGCGCATAGTGAGCTTCCTGTACCCACGAACGTCAAGGAACAAACCCAAATCCATGAAAAGCCCCAACCCCGAAACCGCGTCCCCGTTCCCCCAACGTGCCTTGAGCTCATCCTCCTCACTGACCGTGACCACCTTTGGCTCTTTCGTCGCCTCCTGAGCTGTGTCTCTTCTCATAAGTCTTATAATAGGTATTGAGCTGGGCGTTTAAGGTAAGGGTTTCGACTCGCCTCGCACGAAGTCGGGTTATGGGCCTGGGGTTATGCACAGCTTGGGCACTCCGGGCGAGTCATCAGTACGAGTACGCGTGACTGGGTTGAGGCTTGAGGATCGTGGAGTAGGGCTTGAGGTTTGAGGCTTACAGCTTGGTTGGGACTGGTTCAGTTCTCATTCAATTTTGTAGCATCCCCGGCGTGCTCTTCGCGGGATTCAGAACTACGTGCTACCGCCAGCTTCAGCAAGAGCTGTAACCACAGTGAAGAACACTCTGAGCCTCAGTGTGCAGGGTCGGTCTCTCTTGGTTCAGCGTTCGAGAGTTTGCCGCATCACTTTGAAAGAGCTCTGCACTTGTGTTGCGCTGCTCTTCCATGTCTAACATCAGATACCTTCACCTTGCAATCCCGCATCTGAAGTGTAGCATCACACGGAGCAGCAGTATATAATTTGATGCTGACGTGAGAATCTTGCGCCAAAATAAAAATCAAGTGTGTAACCCAAGCTCTCTTCAGAGTTGCTGTCCTGTCACAGTAGGTGAGAGATACCAGGGTCTTGCACCACATCCATAGCGTCGTCATGAAGAACGGATGCGTTGGCATGGTGTGGCAGGTTTGAAAGAACAAAGACTAGGCTCGACCACAGATAGACTGATAGACAGGACCCCTGGCTCAAACACGCGTCAGCGACGCGACAGCTGAGGGATCAGTACCATGGCCACTCTCGAAAACTAGGTAGCACTCGGATAACAGTGCAGTGGAAGCTACCAGAAAGCTTTTCGAAACTCAGAAACGATAGGTAATTTCATTGCTGAAGAACATCAAAGCCTGGTGAAGCACACCCAGAACCCCGCTTTGGGCTGCACGCGCTGATGGGGATAGCCTGTACCACTTCGATTGGCGGCATCGAAGCATGCTTAGGGTTAGGGTTAGGATGCCGGGACATCTCTTCTGAGCATTGATGTCGTGACCCCAACAAGCAGTGAAAAACAAGGGTAGTCTCCGGTCACGGTGTCTGGGCAACTGTAAAACATAGTGGTCCACAGCGCACCAGGGAAGTCCGCAAACCCGAAGCGAAGAAACATGCAGTCGAAGTGGCCGGGAGGAACTCCACGAAATCTTCCTGAGAGCAACAGCAGGAGATGTGGCCAACCCCAGGCCACTCGGCTCTCCCCATTTCAAACACCACTACTATAGATACATAAGTCCTTCGAGGGGATCGTCGCCGAGGCGACGAGCTCACTACAAATCAGGTTAAAGGCTCCAAGCATGCCCAGTACCCGGGCGTGGACTTCTGGATTTGTGGGGGCGCTCTGCACTACAACTCAGGACAAGGACTCTGTTGTACTTCGAGGACAATTTAGACTAATTCTCCTTGCAGTCAAGGCTATTAAAGAAGCAACAACAAGCAACTACAACGCCCCCAGGACTAAGTACACAAACGAAAGTTCGACTACAGAGGGCCGCAGTTTGGCTCCGCAGGGATTTAGGGTCTCCCTGTGGCCTTCGTCGGGGTCTAGCCACTCGTCTAGTAGTCCTGCTACATGTGAAGCAAGAGCGTCCGGTTTCTGAGTGATGCTGGTCGTGTCTCATCTCAGCGGGTTGATGACTGAGCCGCTGGCTGTTGGTTGATTTGGGGCTTCTGCAAGCAGCTTTGAGAAACTGGGCTTGGGGAGGTAGAAACCCTCTGAATTACTGCGGCTAGCGTCAACAACGATCGTTTGCCGCGCTCTCTTTAGCCTATATGCCTAAAGACCTACACAGAAAGCTCGAACCAGAAGCCCTACAGCCCCAATCTCTAACCACCGTCCTTCAGCATGTACTTGAGCTCAAGCTTTTCAGCCACTACCTCGCCGCCCTTCAAGATCACACCGCCGCCCTTCAGGGGAGGTGTAGAAACAAATGTAGCTATGTCAAACGGGATTCTGTCATATTCTGTCAGAGTATGCTTTCGGACACATACAGATCCGCACAATGCTAGCAACCTAACGATATACAGACAGCTCAAACTCGAATAGTAGTGCAGATACGAACAAAACACTGACAACATGGCGCATTTGTGTGTATATGTATATGTAGATGAAACGTGTGTGTGTGTTGCCATCTATCTCAATCTGCCCCCTCTCCGGGTGTGGGAGGGTTGAGGCTCGCGTTGGGTTCTGTCATCCTCATTGTGTAAATGTGCATGAATTCTTGTGGTCGCTTCTTACCTACCCCCTGTGAAGTTGAGCAGGTTTGGTTCCCCTTGACACGGTGTGGCATCCTGCGCAAGAATATCTCGACACTCATCCACAAGAACGACGAGGATCGACACATCAATCCTCTGACTGTTTTCACTTTTCGGACGTCGCAATCAAGATCCTTGAAAGATCAGTCATGCAAATTTCAAGTCCAAGTCACACCTCCTTCGTAAGCGTTTGTATTCTGGAAACGTCACTGAGATGTCGAAATTCAGAAACGACAACAGTTGGAAAGATTTCAGTCCTCATCCATCTCAGCTACTGTCGGCGGTTTCGACACAGCATTACAACCAAAACCGACGCCAGCGTCCTCGGGCATCGCCATAAGCCGGCCAGAAGTATAAGCATAAATACAAGTATATGTATATGCACATATACATGCATTTGTATATCAAATGCAAAACTCAGATAAAGTGCAAGTGTAAATATACCTAAAATCAAACAAAAATACACATAAACACACATACACATAAGTGTATGTATACGCGGGTGTGTGTGTGTGTGTGTGCATGTGTATGCATGAGGGCTTCAATGCCCGTTCATATTTACAGAAAACCATGCACACACAAAGATACAACACAAAGACACATGCAAACATACATACATACATACATACATACATACATACATGTATATATGTATGCATGTGTGTATGTAACAAAGTACAGCCACGCGCGGGTCTGCACCCATGCACCCACGCCGTGTACATGTACAGCAGTACCTGTGTGGGTGTATGACATACGTATGAATAACATGCGAACGGCACATGTATGCACATGTGTTCCTGCACATAGTAATGGAGTGTTTGTACTGCGTCTGCCTGCCAACAAAAAATGTAGCTACGCATATATGCATGTATATCAATAATGCTAAATAATGCTCTCATAGACAGACATACCTACATATCTACATACATATATGTACAGTATAACCACATATAACGTGTGTATATGGTCTACACACACACACATATATATATATATACATACATCATTAGCCGGCCCCAAACCTTGTTAAGGTAGACCGAAGATATGCAACGAAATAGTTGAAAGTTCTCCCATTGCCGAAGTAAGCAAACGGTCAAATATTCGTATCTATGTTTGCAGACCTTGCTTCTCTGACTCTCACGTGCCGTACACAACTGCTTTTACATAATGTGATACTCGATGGCACTACGGATGCCTAATTCTTATGTGAATTGTGATAGCTACTTCTATGGTCCCTATACATCCCGCTACTATACCATGAGCTAGCAACAAGCACTTGTGCCGGATGGCCCCTGTGCTTCTACCCGTTCAGACTGAAGCTGTCGTCGTCGCTGTTCAACGATGCATTCTCAGCTCGGCAGTTCTGTGTAGGACCTGGCATTAGCTCACACCAGCTGGGTGGTTGACAGCCTCACCACAGTACAGACCCATCCAGCTTTCAGGGTAGCATGGGGGGTTTGAGGTATGACGTCCTTCGACAGAACAGCAACCAAACTCTTCTCCAAGCTCGACAAGATCACTGTAGGCATAACCCGCCTAATATCGGCATCTATCATCTATCGTATCAGCCATGACTCCTCTGTGTGATCTCCGGAACACAGTGTCCTCGTTCGTCGCGGCAACGTTCAGCTCGGCCAGCTTGGCTTTCGCATCCTTCCACTGCTCGGTCAGTGACTTGACACTTAACGAGGTTTGCATGACCGCCGGTGCAAGGTCGTCTGCATTTCGATAGAATGACGGAAAGCACATCGGAACAATCGACCGCATTCCCGACCCACGGAAAGAAAAGCCTCGAGTTGTGTGCACGGAATCATCTTGCAGTACACACTTCACACTACCTCAGTTTTTTGTTCAAGTTGGGGCACATCTCTATGTCCCACGATGGATCTCTTGGTTGAAAATGCCATGATTTCGGTCAAAGATTAGGCACTCTAGTCACTGGTGACTGCCCGGCTGTACTAGCGGCACCCCTTGTAGCTTCCGGCCCTACCACCTGCGCTTTTGCCTGTGCCGGTGCATCACACTGCTTCCTACTGCTTGAACCATCCAGTCCGCGCACACCCTCTCCAGGTAGAACCTTATGAAGGGAAACCTCAAGACCCCTGAATCTTATATCTGAAAACATACCTACTCAAGGCGGCATTGCAATATCAATACATGGGAACTACACCATGAGGAACATCATTACTAAAGGAAAACTCTATCCACCCCAAAAGCCGCAAAACTCACTAAGGCCACTAAGGCCCAAATACCAAACCTCCTAAACCCCGCGTACAGTACCCACTCTCCCTTCAATAACAGGAGTACCCTGTGTCCTATTATTCGTTTCAAGAGAAAGGAACCCTCGACTCGAAAGGGCAAAGGGATAACACTGTGGAACCCGGAACCTCAAGAGACTTTCTGCCTCCAGCTTCTCGAAGCTTTCAATGTCCAAGCAACCGTCGGCCCCGAGGAAGACCTCGGGCTTTTGTGTTGCTTGCTTTTGTTGTTGTTGTTGCTGC